TTCAGTTTGTTTACATTATGTGTATTATCTTTCTACTTTGTCTTGTTTCACATTATGTTTGTTTGCACTTCTCGTTCCTCGCTACTGTATGCACCAGTATTCCCCCCTAGGATCAATAAATATTGTCTTGTCTTACGTTTCTAGTGTTTGACACATCACTGTAAAAAGTCTCCTCTTGCATTATGTTGTCTGCCTTTTATCCAAATTTTGGGCTACGTCTGTATTTTTGCAATACCTATTGATGCATGTCTTGTATTTTTTTCTGTGCACGTTGTGCCTCATTGTTAATTGTCTGTTGTCATGGTGTCTGTTATTGTAGCAAGCTGTGCCAACACAAATTTCCACCAGCCCTGGTTGTGTGGCGATAAAGATTTCAATTCTGATTCAAATGTTCAGATTGTTGTCAAGTGCCTCAGTGTTGAATGACATCAACAGTCATGCCTACTGTGCAGCAAATAGGTGTATATATAATTTATTGTCCACCCCTTACAGATGCAGAATATTATTAAAGGTTAAAATCCATGTTATTGCCAACAGCCTATCCACCCTACCAGATATGTCTTAAAATTATATAATTTAATTTTTAATTTCAACTCCTCTTACTCCCCCTCCCAGATTGAATGTATAACTTGGAGTGCTGAGGCTACAGTGCTACATTACATTGTGCATTATTTATGAAATAAATACTTAAATTGTATTATGCTAGGGAATGAAGGGAAAAGATTGGGTTTTTAAAATGATTCCTTTTAGCAGAAAAAGCACTACATACTTTTGTAAACATCATCCTTGTCAATGGTGTAACCTTCACATTGTACAAGGACCATTCTTACGAAGCTTGTTTTGGGTAACTTTGATAAGCAAACTTATAGGATTCTGATGTCACCACTAGGTCGAAGGTTGATGGCTGTCCCCTAACGTTGTACCCTGTGCCTCCCACCATACACTCCAGGGTCATTGTGACCCTGTACTGGGTAGGCTTATGGAAGGTATGGAAAATGGATGAGGAAAGTTTAAATGTTGCTAAACCATTTTCAAGTTACCGTTTACTATCCAATATATCAGATGATTTTGTTTTTTTTGCTATCAACCTCTAGAACAGACAGTGTCGTGACAAAGTATGTGCCCCTCCCTAATATCTTTATATTTTTGCTTATCCATAACACTTTATTGTGTCTGATCTCCAAAGAAATTTAATGCTGTACAAAGGACAATGCGAGAAAACACGACAGTTTTAAAATGATAAAAAATAAAGGAAATCAGGACGGGGGCAAAGACACGGCACTGTAAGCTCGGGAAGTTCATTTGGATTTAATGTTGTTAGTTGGATGAGTAAAGTTTAAATGCATGCCAGGCAACCTCTGCATTGTATTGAGTAATCGTGAGTGGTTTGGCTAAATTCTGCTGTCATGGAAACGATAAGATACGATTTCTCATAAATTTGCTTTGCCCAACAGAGAGCTATGTTCCATTACAAAATACACACTATACATACAATGTCATACATACTATAGTTGCACTTGCATGACCTGAAGAATGATTGATTTACGTATTTGCATGTCTTGTCTTGTGACTGTTTTGGACAAATGGCATTGCTAGTGAGGCTGGCCAAAAAAAACGGTACTTTAAAAGTGGGGCTAGAGAAACATTCAATATGAGCAACAGTTAATAAGTCCAGGTCTTCTTCATAAGGCAGGTACCGTTGCCGGACTGATCACGTGGGTAATCGGTGTTGACAGGACCTGGGCTGCTGATATGCAGGGACTCCTGGCTTGAGACATGCAGAGTCAGGTGTGGAGGGAAATTTCAAAATGGGCGCTTTGGGACAACAGCCAAAAAGCAGGCAGAAAGTAAAGGGCTATACGCAGATGGAAAACTACATGGGAACTTACAGGATTATGAGGGCCAGAACCAACCAACTAAAAAAAACACAGATTTGTGCTGGAAAAGACAAAATACGGTCAAATAATGAAATGCACAACACACTTCTCTCAGAAACTGCTGGTTAAAAAAAAACTGAAGACTTGGGCTTGCATGGAAACTCACCTAAGCTCCACCGGCTAGATATTAATTATAGATACGGGAGTTTGTTACTTGCACCTGTTTTGCATTCCCTCCATAAGTGCCTATGTCATCTATAGGATTGACCGAATCTGCTGTGGTGCAACATCTGTATCACACCAGCACCAACCAACGCAGCCAGCCAGTGACACCCAGCTGAATACTAGACACACTAAGCTAATCACTTGCCTGCCTGGTTTCCAGTGAGCCATTTGCAATGTGTTGAGTAATTACTCATTACTATACCAAGGGTTTCGTTGTTTGATTGGCCTACTGTGTATGATTCCCTCGTGTCCTTGTTCTTTGTCTGCTGTTTTGGCTTTAGTTACTCGCCCTGTATTCACTTTGTCAACCTCTGCCTGTGGACTGTACCTGAGGTTACAGTTCGGATTTGTTTGCCTTTGCTCACATGTATCTAGTCTTCAGCCCTCTGCTTGCCCTTGGATGTAAAGTCTGGAAATAAACTGTTGTTCCTGCAAGTGGATGTTCTCTCGCTCCAGTCATTCCAATGTGGTAAATCTCATGTGCTCCTTTTGTCAGTGTAAAATGGCCTTGTGCTCTTTGGCTGCAATGCCACCACGCAGAGCAATCATCACACTTAATGAAATCCACAACGATGACTGTCCATTCCAACAGATTGTGCGGTTTGAAGGCTTTTTCCAAATGTATCCTTATTTGGATATAGGAAAAAAACATGGATGATGGCTTATCAGACCGTATTACTGGTTTCGTTTGCTTAGTGGTCCATGTTTTGTGCTCCTTACACCAGGTTAAGGGTTTTTGTACATTGGTTTATATTCCAGCTTTCACAATGTGCTTTAGCCATTTTGCAGCTGTCCTATTAAGTGCCCTTTTGTCCCTGTTGATAAGTTTCAACTACCGTTTGCCTCCTTGCCAGTGCATTTGTTCATGTTTGGCATATGGTGTCATGATTTTTTTTTAACATCCAATTATTTTTCATGTTTTGTAACCAGCTATGTGACATTATGGAACTCTGTTGCCTTAAAACTGGCTCATCAAACATCAGAATATTCTTTTACCGCTGATATGCCACCAATTTGCATTTGACCTAATGTAACTATAATTTGCTATTTATCCTCTAGATCTTTGCAGTACTTTCCACTAGCATTTTTCAGTCCTGGCTCTCACAAAGCACTGCTTATGTTGATATCGGTTGAGTTCTTAACTAATTAATTAGGCTTGATTAAGCTGTCGACTGGGCATGAAACATGCATTTCACCAAATATATTAACTTAAGAGTACTTTGATTTACAGTCATGTTACACAACCTTTCTGTCAGGAATAAGTGCAGTAATTAAAAATGACTAGATCGTTCTAGCTTGTGCCCTTGAAACGAAGAAAGCAATTTTAATATTTTAAATGAATCAACAATGACATATTTATAGCCATCGAACAGTCGACTAAGGGATGTAAACATTTAAAAACAAGTAATTGCTAAAAATAAGTTGTATGGTTTAATCAATTAATTATCATAGAATAGGCATGTATTTAATAGCATATAGAGTACCAGTCAAAAGTTTGGATACACCTACCTATTCTCTACATTTTAGAATAATCATAAGGACATTAAAACTATAAAATAACATATATGAAATCTATTAAACAAGGATGTTAATTTGTTTGGAGGGGGCAGCTCAGTGGGTTTGGAATCAGAAGGTTGCTGGTTCAAATCTCTGGGTCGGCAGGATGATCCCGCCATTGGGCCCTTGAACAAGGCCCTTAACCCCAGTTGCTCCAGAGACTGGCCGACACCACATACTCTACGCCATTTTCATGGAGTGGTCGCCTGTAATGCTTTTCCAGCTGTCCTGAAGGAGGACATATGCTGAGGACTCAGTCAGCACTTTTCCTTCATTCTCTGGTCAAACTCCTCTCAAACCATCTCTACTGGGTTTAGGCTCAGTGGCCAGGTCAAGGAATGTGACCATAACACTTTGTAAGTGGCCTAACCCTATCCAACATTTTGACTGGTACTGTACATAACAGGTTTTTTTGTGCTTGTTTCATTTAACAATAGTATTCTGTGACATGATATTAATTTCACAGTTCAGCAGTACCAAAAACCAGTATACACGGTGGGTTGAGCAGACCAAAATCGAAAATTCTGCTATACCCAACTTTAACACACGTGGATTACATTTGTATTTGTCAATACTTATGCATGACTTATGTTTGTGTTGGACAAAATTCTTTGTAGAATACCCACCAAACCAATTATTTGTATTCCATTTCTGATAGCATGATGTTAGTTTTTCTGTGTAACTGTTATTCTGGTAACGCTATCCACTTCATATGAATGAAAGACAGCATAACATCAAGCATACAAAATATGAAAATTGTATAACAATTAACATGTTTGGCTGACAGTCATCTCTTTAAGGAAACATTTACTTGTCAGACAAAGGATTACTGCTGAATATCCTTTGCTTGATATTCACCTCTTCTTCCTGTGTTGTGCAGCGCATGCTAGTCGATCGTAAGACTTAATTTCATGATTTTACAATATGAGTGGCAGCTGGAGGCCTTCCGGTTCCACGGCACAGTCACTCCAGTGTTTACTGGCAGTTCTGGAAAATTCCCTAACTCGGTCAATATCCAGACAACGGTTAATGTTAGGAAATGCAGTTTGTTAGTAAACACAACATAAAAGATAAACGAAACCGTTATCATTCGGTAGTTTTCCCCGGAATTTTATTAATAAATTATTCCCATTTCTCCGAACGTTTACCGTTGCCACAGTTGCAATAATACATATTCATAGGTTTTGTTGCGGGTTTCTTTTCCCAGCTGATGTGACGTAGATGCTTGTGTATATATGTGATTTTTGGTATCGGAGGGCGGAGAAAGAAACGGGGGGCGTAAGGTTGTGCTGACTTAAGACATGCTATTTGAAAATTTGCTTTTTCTATGCTTCCGGAGATTGGGCATCCCTTTCGAAGGACTAGTTAGACATATCTGATGTAAATAATAATAATAATAATTTAAAAAACTAAGAAAGGTTACAGTGTTCGACTAGCGATTTTGCCTTGTATTTACCTCATTCATTTTTTAAATAAGAAAATATAGATTATACATGTATCCTCGAATGAGCAGTCGTGTTTAATTTAATACGTGTATAATATATTTTGTATATTTGATGGTCTGTTCTGTTGCATTTTTCTGCTAGAAACAGAAGACAACACGTCAGAGGGACCTAACATATTTTACGCTAACGCAGACAGGAGAAGGTGAAGCACTGCCCCAGCCCTGCTTTCTGGAAAGCGCCGTGGGTTTGGCTTCAGAGCCCCCAGCAGCCGCAAGAAGCTTCGATGTCATGTAGTCCTAATCGACGACAACCGGGGAGAAGTATCTATCTATCTATCTGCCGGGGAAAAAAGCAGGCTTCCGAGGGCCATCAGAAGGAGTGGGCAAAGAAAGCCGTATTACTTCTGCTGCCCAATCGATCCACTGGCGTTGAAGAAGCGCTGGGACCAGCAGCAGCGTGGGGAGAGCCGGCCGCCTCTGGGGTGTTATTCCAACGGGAGTGGAATACACGCTTGACACATAAGGGAAGGAGGGGTTAGCAGACAAAATACGTTTAAAGCAGACAATTACATTTTCCGACACATTTCTAAAGGAAGCAATATTGTCCTCACTTTCGACAAAACCGACTTTGGAAAAAAGGAAGAAAAAAAAACGGGATACAGATCTTGGTAGGTGAATCTTTTTTCTGCTTGATATCGGCGTTACAGCCGGTGTGGTCGTTTGATAAATACTCAGCGCTTCTGCGCAAGTGGCGATGTGCCGCTGCTTTCTGTTTTAAGACCCATTTAAATGTGGCATTTAAATGATGTTGTATGAATCTATATTAAGGATATTACGCACACAAAACGCATGACGATAATATAGGGGTATGTTTTGAAGCGTATAGAATTGTGAAGATTTTTGTCATTGTGGGTGGATAGAACTAGAACAGTTTGCATGTATAAATGTTTTTTTCTTGTGTAATTTGTAATCTTGTATAATCTCCAGCGTGCTTTTGAAATAGTGTCATGATTATAGTGGTTGAAAGCTCCGATCAGTTATGAGCAGTGGACCGCGTCACTTCGCATTCAACATACGGCTTGTGCGCTTATTGCGTTTTTTATGTGAATGCAAACATGCACATTGAATGGGTTTATGAGTTTAAGGGTGATCGATATTCCCCCCCGCTAAAGAGACTATAGTACAGTGTTATTTTTGCATTTCCCAAATGTGTGTATGTTTGTGTTTATTCGGGATAAACATTTTAAACGGGGGGGTTACATAATGTATGTTACATGCTAAACTGAAATCAGGCTTCTATCTTTAATTTATTATCAATTCAGGGTATTAACACCGGTTGCAATTAATAATTGTCTAAAAGCATAACTATGAGGAAATAATAGCTTATCACTAGTAACGAGAGTAGTAACGATAATAGTAATAATTTCCCACAACATTAGAGATCATTCTAGGCCGTTGCAGTCGTGTTACCGGCACAAATAAAATGTATCTTGGGTTTTTAATAGACATGGTTTTTGGTCTTTTATATTTTTTTCTCTTACAGATCTTAGTTCTTTTATGGTGTATGTTTATGCAAGTCGGTAGTTTTGTTTTGTGTTATAAATTAGATAGGAATACCTCTCACTTTATTGTGGTTTTGCAATGATATTCTGTTGTGAGGATTCCGTTCTAGATGGAAGTCGGAAATAAGATAATGCAGTGAAAACTCTGTGTATTATGATTAATTTAAGAACAGCTGATGTGTTCCATATTACTAAGATGAGCTCCTGTTTACTGGGAATCAAATAACCAACGTGCAACAACTCCATTCCCAAAATAGGAAACACGATTCAGCGGAGCTCATTCCAGTTGGTCGGTTCTGTAAACCTCGTCAGCAGACAGCGGTGAATTAGCAGTAATTCCATAGTTTTGTCTTTAAAATCGGTTTACTTTACACAAAAACCTCACACAAAATAGATGGTGACCCTTATACTTTAAGACAGATACGGGGACATCCCTTATTTAACAGTCAATAGCTTGGAGTCACCGTGTCAGTACGCTGTGATAGATCTTAATAAATCTGTATGAAGGTACCGAAGTGAATCCATGCCCGTAGGGGTCAGCGGCGAAAAATACAATACGAAGCCTACAAATTATGCGGTTAAGACGACTGTAACGACAACGTACAAGCAACAGTATATTTGTATTATTACTTAAGTTAGGCGTTTGTATGAATTTTAAATAAATCTTTAAAAACAAAATGTACTCTTCTAACAAAAGTACGTATTTTTGTAAGTGATGCTACAATGTATGAGAAGACTGTCAACCTGTTATGAAAAAAAAAAGATTCTGTAATTAGTGTTGACATGGTACAAATTGAATGGTACGTATGTTAGTTCTCTGTGGAAAAACACACAAATCTTGGCAATTTAGTGGCACAGGGAACAAGGCTGGGAGTTGAATCCACAACCCTACAAATATGAAGCCATACTGTTACTGAACAGTGTGGTTCAAATTATCGTCCCAAACTGTTTGGTAAAATCAATGACTATGCTGAATAGATTGTCCAGATAGATACACACTTTACCAATCACTATATTAAATAGTATACTATAGTAGACTTAAATAGTATTATAGTGAATGTGTAGTAGACTAGACTGTGTAGTATTTCCAGCAAATATTATCTGTTTTTGCATTTTCTTTTGCATTTTCTTTTGCATTTAAGCAATCCAATTTCTTTTGATAAATCCATGTTACATTACATTCTTTGGCATGTTTTGAAATGGATTAAAGTTCTTGTATTTTACTTTTGTACTGAAGCTGTTCAGGATTTAGACCAGTAGTTAGAATGTTGAGTAGATGTATCCCTGCTTGTTTTTCAAGAAATCAATGAGCCACTCAGATGGTTTAATATGGCAGGCTCACATTTTATTCCTAGAAGGTCTCGCCATCATCTAAGAGCTCCCTAAATTTCAACTTCGACTTTTAAACGCGTTCTAAAATAAAGGTTAAAGAAAAGCAAAATAAAAGATAACTTTACATTTATTCTACAGTTCCTTTTATTCCAAGCAGCATGCAGTTGAGAGTGCAGGGTTAGTCCCAGGAGCAGATGGGGTTCAGGGTGTTGCTGAAGGGCACAATGGTAACGTCACTCTGCCGATCCCGGGACATGAACCCGAGGCCAGTCGATTACGGGCAAAGAGGCCGAAACTGCAGAGGCATGTGCCCTAAATGTATCTACTGGCAATTTATGTTCCCATTGCTAAACTGATTTTGCATGATTGGTTGACTGATTGGTCGGTAAAGGGAATTTGTATGAAAGTTTTATAGCATGTAGTATGATACCAAGATGATACTTAAAAAGCAGCACATGCAATAAGAGCTGTATTTTATCCCATTTGCTTCAGTTTATTTCTTTATTTTGCTTAGTATGAAACATCAAATTATTTCCAAATGCAGTGGAATTATTGGTGGATTGGTGAATTCAGCTTACACTTAACGAAGTACATTAAGTAAATTAAATAAAGTTGTACCTTAAATAAGGTATCATGTTTGTAATGGTTATAGAATATTTGTTCTGAGCAAGATAGAAAAAAATGTGGGAAAGGAGAAGACTGTAAAATTGGTATTTTTTATGTTTTCTTAATCTAAAACATGTCTGATTTGACTAAATTTTTCTGTAATTCAATAATTGTGTTTTCCTGTAATTTTGGATCTGTGGATTTAAGACAGAATTTGTACTAGGTGTAACAATCCTATTAATATTGAGGCAATGTTATTAATAATGTACAGCAAAGCAACACCTTTCAGTCATTCACCCATTTTCCGTACTCGCTTGTCCTGTGAAGGGTCACTGGGATCCAGAGCCTATGGGCATACGGGAGGGTATCACCCGGGGGGGGGGGCACACACACTCACAATTCAGATCCCTCTAATTTCCCTTCAATTTTTGTAATTCCATTACATACATTGTGGGATGAATTTTATTTTGTTATGTAAATTTTGTTTTGTTTATCATTTTTTTTCCTTGTATTAACCAATACCCTAGAAATATGATCAGGTAATCAGATCTAGCTTAATACTGTAAGATTTGTGTTTGCCTCATGCATTTAATTTTAAGAACGTGTTTTTGTGAAAAAACCTGGATGGCTTTGTGTAAAGAACCAAAATGTCACCTAGGGATATTTGGAACAGACAAATTTTATTTTGGGATTACCTTTTAATGTGCAGTTGGTATTAGGGAGCTAGGATAATTAGCAGCGATTTATATATAAACAAATTGAAAAAAGATCTAGTTCAGGATTACTCAGCGGAATAATATGTACATTCACAGGTTGAATGAATCAGTGTGTAATGACCCGAGTTGCCCTCTGAGGTGATGGTGACCCTATTCCCTACTTTTGTGGTGTGCTAATGGGAACTCATTGGATTGGATTAGTGACCCCTGTTTGGGTGAGACTGGAGACGGGAATGCCTAGGGTTGAGAATTTAGAAACATGCCTCATAATTACAGTTGATAATCATAACCAATATTAGCAGCTAGGAATTTTTACTCAAAATATCAAACCTGAACAGAGTAGAGAAGGTTTTTTTGTAGGAACCCTGCTAAAAGTTCCTGGTTAAATTGAGTACCTCTTACCAAATGAACCAAAGATGATTACAGCCACTGGCGTGCACAGATAGAGACGAGGTGGTGCTGAAGCACTTGCCCTTTTGCCCTCAGTCCAAAAAAG